CACACACACACACACACACACACACACACACACACACACACACACACACACACATTCTCTCTGTGTGTGGTGTCTGTGTGCCAGGGACTCTCTTTCTCCACCCTAGCTCTGTCCACTTATTCTTCTACAGCGCATTTCAACTTCAGGCATAAACTTCGGTATTTTATCTAAGAAAGTGAAAAGTATCAGGGTATATACCCAAACTTTGCCTTCCGTCTGAGAAGATATATTACCCTGACATTTTGCATCTGGACCGTACAGGAGGCCCGGTACTCACAGACACAAAATCTGCATGGTACATCCATCTTCCCAGGTAAAAAGTGTTTCTTGGTATACCATTCTTTTTTACTGGATTCGAACTTGGGTCTGTATTTGAACAGTTCGTGGGTGTATCAACTGGGGTTGGTATAATTCCTCTCTAGCTAAAGACAGCAAGCTTAGGTCGTAGCTGTGATCTTCCACTGATTGACAAAACACCCAGGAGCACTTGACACTCTGCTGTCTAACCAGATATAATGCATAAACCACCTCCCTGCACACACTTCATCCCGAGCACCTTTGTGTTCATAACTTCATATACTTCCATAATGCAACTCTACCTACTACAGTCTTCACCCGATAATGCCCGTGCTTTTTATACGGATGTAGACGGTATGGACCGCAACGGCCCAGCAGGCCCAACGCACGGAATTTTCAGAGTAGGCGCCAAACATTTTTTTGCGAGGCTGGGGCCGTGTTCTGGTTGTAACGTAGGTCCTGCTCCCAAGGAAGTACCTCTCTGTTCCTTTTACCCCTTCCCAGCCCGGATCTGATGGTCCGTACTGAGGAGGATCCCTGACTACAGAGTGCTATTGTCCTGACTACAGAGTGCTATTGTCCTGACTACAAAGTGCTATTGTCCTGACTACAGAGTGCTATTGTCCTGACTAAGGAGTGCTATTCTCCTGGCTGAGGAGTGCTATTCTCACACCCGGACTTCTTCGACTTTTTCAACTGCGCTCTGTACGTGATTGCAGTTAGGGCAGGACCCCACAGGATGGCAGCAAACGGTTTCGGAAGTCGCAAGGCAACTTCCCGGACCCCACAGACCAAGAATACCGTTCCCGACTACGACGGGCAACCATTTTCGCTCGCTCCACGACCCCTTTATTCCTATGTGGCCGCTGCCACTCAGTGTCACACTGGATCCGCAACACTCCTATCCGACTGCTAATGGGACCTCGCCCCAGGGGCCATGTTCCGCCTCCGCCATAGAACTACCTTCAGCTGTATTTGAGGCACCTTTCGGTCTAGATACAGCTATAATGACCCTCCGTTGTATTTGGGGGAAGAAGGTGGCTCAACGGTGAGCTTGCTTTCAACCACGAGTGACGCTGTGTGACTGCTAGGATAGGAGAGAGAAGCTGTGCAAAGCATTTTCAATTGTATTTCCCTCCACGAAAATTAACATAAATATGGGAAAATACCAATTAGAACGCCCCCCTACACGCCCCCTCTTCCATGGAACTGGCTCACCTACTCCGCGTGCGTTAGCTAGGTTTTTTTTTTGTTTTTTTTTTTTTTGGATTTAGCTAGTTCTACGGATGTTGAGCCATCATTACCTCCCGAGTCCTGACAGACGTGGGAAGACTGACAGACATGGGAAGACACTGGTAATTTCCTATGATCGCGTGGTGAATGCACAGAGTGCGACATACTATCCACATTCGTTTCACACTACGCGGAGAGGTGGACCCCACTGCTTTGCAGCAAAGCTTTGGAAGACGAGTTGTGAGACCCCACTGCTTTGCAGCAAAGCTTCCGAAAATGCTGACAAATGACGTGGCAAGCGTTTCCACTCAGTTTGGTTTTGCCCGTTCCTTGCGGTTCGGCCATCCCGAGAGGTTAGGGGGGGCGGGGGGGGGCACCCCCCTCGGTTTGCGCATAGCATGTGGAACGGAGACTCGGCGAAGAGCCAGGGATTGGATTAGCTCCAAGACAAGTGAATGTGAAGTTTCTGTATAGGGAAATTTTTCCCTATCGGGTAACCAGCAACGACGGACCTTCCAAAATTGGATCATTTCTCGATTTATTCATGTCATGCTTGCGCAGGGGCATGCTAATCTTCTTTCTCTGTATCATTCCAATTTTAACAGATGTCCCCAAGGACAGACCGGCCAAAAAAATCGTGCTGCCGTGGGGTCCTCTTTTCTGTTTCCCATCGTCGGGGCCTACGATTTGGGTTCCAGGCAGTGGGGTCCAACTCTGAATTCCTCAACTTCATGCAGTTGCAGTCTTGCAGACTGTAAGGAGAGTTTCACTCTATGATTTTTTTTGGGACAAAACCATAATTCAGTACCATTTCTTTCTCCATTTACGTTATGGAAATTATGGGGAAAAAAAAGCTTGCAGCACTAGGTTACCAGAGTGGCCCAGGGGAGTGGTCCCACTAGCGAAGAGGATTGGATCGAATGCCCGAATCTGGACGTAATTGAGGCCAGGTGCACGAAATCGAGATTTAACTGCTTTTCTGCATCTCTGCATAGAAAACCATCCAGATTCAGAAGCTCGATTCTATCCTTTTTGCTAGTGGGACCTCGGCCCAGGACAACTTGCCCAGCCACGCCAAAAAAAATAAGGAAATAAATATATATTGTCACAAGCCTTAGGATATAAGAGCGCAAAAACAAAAAAAAAAAACAGAAAGAACACAAGGAAAAAAAAATTCCGTTTTTTTTATCTTCTTCCTTACAACTCCCCCCCTGTTCGAACCTCTCGCGTACAAGGCCGCCCACGTGGATGTAGGCAGAGCAGTGGCAGCTGCCCCCACCCCCATGTGTCATATCCACCCACTTGCACACAGCCAAAAGGCAAAGAGGCAAAGAAAAGAGAAAAGGGAAGAGCCAAAATATAACAAAACAGGGGGGCAACAAGATCCCAGATGATAAGTCCCACATGTAAGCACGGCCCCCAACTTCACAGGCCAAACGACAGGACAAGACCAACCAGGGTATCAAAACACTCATATACATATATATATTGTCACATCACTACAAACTAAAAGAGCGCACTTTGCGGAACAAAGAATAAAAGCAAAAAACGGGCACAGTGATAACATGCAAAAATAAAAAGAAAAACAAAAACAAAAAGCAAAAACAAGGGCAGATTGAAACCATTAAATTTCTCATTCTTCTTTGAACTCCACCTCCACTGTGCCTCTCACATGCAAGGCTCGCCACGTTGATGAAGTTGAGCGCGAGCTGCCCCCATCCCCGTATGCCATAACAGCCCACTTGCACGC